TATATATATATATAGATATTGATAAAAATCAATTAAAGAAAACATCGTGATGAATTGAATGCGCATATGAAAGAAAGACAACAACGAGAATGCAATCAAGAACTCAAAAATCAAGCAATTAAAAAAGGATTTCAAACACTCAGTTCTGCCGGACAATACGGCCAGTTCTAGTCTAAGTTTCAAACAGCACACAGAAAGACATTTCCCATGAAACTCTATTCTTTTTCCGATTCGGACGCTTCTAACTCAGCTGCCCACTTCGGGAACATACGTTTGTAGAGGTTCTAAAAACGAGTAACAATTACATCTGACACATCGAATTTAAACAATTTTTATTGTCATATCTTATTCCTCTGACCAAAACAAATGAAACGCTTCCTGTGTATAGCTTAAAATCAGTGTTTGAACAGAAATTTTTCTGGGAAACCAATTGAAAATTTCAGCGAATGTATTATGCAAAGAAGAAGAATACAACGAAACCAATAACCATCAGATTTAAATAAATCAAGGGACGTACCGTCTTACGTACGAATGGCATTAAAAGTATATCGTTGTATATGAACATTCCGCCAACAAGGAAGACAAAACCGATGATCTGAAAACAACACCGCTTATAGGCACTGCAAATAAAGCCAAAAACCAGAATAATATCATTTTTTCTTTTGGAAGTTGCTTTCATAATACCAACACAATACCGCTCTTCTCAACATCAAATCTAAGAACGCACATCAACATACAAATAATATCCCTAAGCAATGCTAGAAGAACAGAAACCGTTTGAATCGTTTGATTTGTAACGTTTGAAAGACATTTAACACGTTTAATTAACTCGCACCACAAATAATCGCTCTGTGCAGTACAATGATTACTAACAATAAGATACTGATTTGGAGAGCACGGATTACTGAACCAACGAAAGATATTTTAGTAAGCAAAAGAGCATCACATACCTGATATGGTATAAATTGACTATGGAAAAATCGATTCGACACAGGCCAGACGATGATTATACAGACACTACCCAATACCATACGCGTTGTTGCGGACATATACTTTGTCACCAAGACACCAGAAAAGTTGAAGAAGGCAGTACTGTAATTCCAAATCAGTGGATCAAATTCCAAACATTTTGAAAGTCTGCAGAGCGAACTCACTTCTGCGACTTTCAAACCAAAATTTTCAATATTCTATCCAAGACGTACTAAATTCAACAAATACCATAAACAACACATATGGCTAAATATACATTTACGATGTCGCTTTTGCAAAAAAAGAATTGCCTCAATAAAAGCGAAAGAATTCAACGAATGCCAAGATTCTGCCTTGTACAAGAATACGGCTCAATCCGTCTAGGCACGAGATGAACGCTACCTCGCAACTGTGAGGCACAATGCTCCGACTAGTTCCCCACTGTCATGCATTGCTTCAAACGCATCTAACGCGTTTTCGGGTGTATAGACGGATATTGGAATCATCAAAATTGACAGAATAAGGAAACCGAAAATGCCTGAAAATTTAATGATTTAGAACGATTGGATGGATCCGATCACAGAGACCTTGCTGAAATTGGTGTCACAATCTTCGAACCGTCCATATGCTCGACTCTTCAATGATAATGCCATTCCTTGATATCACCTCATACAAAACATCT